TCTTTAGCATCGCAGCGGCTAAAAATCAAACATATCGCCAGTTCTCATTAACTGTAAATTAAATTAAACCATCGATCTGATTTTTTAAAATTTAATTTTTCCTTGAGCATAGCAGCGGCTGAAAATCAAATATATGGCCATTTCTTATTAACTGTAAATTAAATCCAACTAAATTAATTAGTAACACAATCTAGTAAAACCTATTTAATCATTAGTCTATACATAGGTTATATGTATCCTGTTTATAACGTATCAAGACAAAGAGAAAATGCAGGCTAGCTAGCTACTTAGACTCTACACAAACACACACAATCTCTCTTCGTATATATAAATTAAACTCACATGGGTATGATTGAGAAGGACAAGATGACTCCATTTCTTATGCGCGCGTGTGGAAGAATGATGCTCCATAACTCGTTTCTGTTTGTAGCTTTCGACTCTTCAGCACCTTCTCAAATAATTACGTTTCTGAGCTTTCGAATATTTAAATCTTATTCTAAGCCTAAATTAAGACAGTACCCAAGAAGCAAAGACAGTTCAAGAATTCGCAAGTTAATATTTGTGAGAAGTTCCATGGTGCATGCCTTGTCAGCTTAGGTTCCATTCAAAAAGTATTACGTTTTCCAGGTGTGAGGGTGCAGTTGAGTCGATATAAAAAATCTTATATATTCAATAAATTAAAATTAAGTTTAATAGGTAATATAGAAAAAGTAGAAGGATCAAGACATAAACTTAAATTTTAAGATTTTGAATTAAAACGTAACAGCATTTCACTACTTTTGTCCATTTGTTCTCTTTCCAATTTCAGGTGCAATGGATGCTCTGAGCATGAAGATATGATTTGTTGTTTTGTGGTGTGGCATTAAGGAAACAGCCTAGCAGACACATCAATCCTCGTGTGTGGGAGACCCATGTGATTCCTTTCTCTTCCTTCGCATGATCTGCTATCAAATCTGTAAAAGTCTTGCTTTCTATCAACTTGCATATATCTAATTCTATGCATATGTGCTTGAATTAAAGTTAAAATGAACTTGTTCAAAATGGTACGACACATATCTCTGTATCAATATTTATTATAAAGTCTATCGTGAATAGTATTATTCACAAACAAGTATGTATATATATATGAGTCAATTTTTCAGATTTTATACAATACATGGAAAAACGTGTTTGATTACTAATCAATATTTTGTTCTTAATATTGGAATTAATGAACATCACGTGTAGACCAGTATTGATTTCAGTACTGTGCAGTTCATGTCCTCATTGGTTTAAACCATTTATATATATATTTTTTTATATGTGTCAAGTACGATTCTTGCAACTGAAATTATTATGTGGCAATTTTAATTAGTAGCACAGCTTTCTCGGAGTTTGTAATGTCTCTTGAGATAAACAAGTTGGTTTAATTTTTTTTTTTCTAGTTTATGCTTTAAGATTTTTTTTTTTTAAGTAAGCATTTGGATCTTCAACATCACCCGCCATGAAAATATGCCATGAGAAACTTTAGGAGTGAAATTCCTCACAAAGGGAAAAAAAAAATCAGAGATAAAGAAGAAAGTGAGAAAAAATAAATTGAAAATTAAGAATATCATCACAGTCTCATTTAATTTTGTGATATATGCTACAAAAAATACTCTCTCCAACAAAAATAATCTTAATATAGAAAAATTTCATGAGTCACAAAAATGCTAGGAAGCATCACATCATTTGTTAACAATATCAATTTTTCTATGTTGAAATTGTCAATTAATATTAGATAGGTGTTCGTAGTACTAGAGTTGTTTTGACAGCTAGTTAAGAAACAATAATTAACAACTAGTATATATCTAGCATTAATTGACAATTTCAATAAAAAACATAGGACTTGGGAATAATTTTTTTGATTTCATGATACTTTTTGCATATTTAGATTGCTTGTGTGGAATCTAAAAATATTTCTTTTTCTAAATCCTATAATTTCAAAAAGTCAAAGTTTATAAAAACCACTCTTGGTGTTTACCGTTGTGGCTGTTTAAGATAAATTTAATTATTCAAACACGTGCCCACAGCACACAAAAAGCTGCCTAATGAGGTGTGGTCTGGCTGAACTTATATACAATAACTCAATTTAGGACTTATTTGAAAACAAATTATATTCCACCAAAAAGGTGTTTTTGGTGTTTCTTGAATATGTTTTCAAACACGCAGGCTTTGAGAGGTTAACTACATAGTTGGACTCGACATTACATAAAATTTATCAATTAAATAACACACTATTTATAGTTTGTAAATGGCACAATTTACAATTAAGTTTATTATAATATATTATGCTATATAGGAGGATTTGAATCATGGACTTTTGCAAATAATTTATCTCAGTCTTACCACTTCTGTAAATATGACAGTCAATTCTTTATTTCTTTGGCACACTTTTTTTTTAATTATACTTTGAATTATGACCTTACACTTCTCTACACCATAATATAAGGTATTAGTAACCATTTTATGATTCTAAAAAGGTATAGGTAAAATTTTTCATCTTTTAGAAAATTGTACATATTTTCAATTATATCCTAATTAAATGCATTATATATATAAATGCCATCTTAATAATGAAAATTAAAATTCTAATACATCATTTTTCAAAAAGAATAATAAATATGGACTTGGGGTATAATTGGAATTATGATTATAAAAGTCAGCTACTCAATATCCTATATTTTGGATAAGGCCATGCTTCTACAAAAAATCATATATTGTGGCCTAGGGGGAGTATATGTATATCACAAGAAGTGCCAATTTTGCAAGTATTAAAATTCAGGTCAACTCAATTAATTTAACAAGTAAATTATTGAATAGTTTAATGAAATATTCTATTCATGATCAGTTTGAATCTAATTACAATTATAGTCATTAACTCTTAAACAATTGTCTTGATCAGTTCAATGATAATATAGTTTCATATAATTTTGATGCCTTTTGAACTATGAAGGTATAAATCATTTTTTATTTTCTCTTGGAATTGGAATTGGGATGCTTGAACTTTGAAAATGTCTTAAATATTATTGAGGGAGAATTTGAAATGATTGTTAGAATGATTTGGGTGGGGATTTGGGAATTTCAATCTCTCCAGAATTAAGCAATGATACATTTTGAGGGTTGTCAAATCTTTAAATACTCCCTTTAATGTATTAATTGTACGCCTAAGAAATATCCACATACCGCCGAATTGATTCTCCAATTAAGGAACATTTAGAATATATAACCTTGTACTACCTCATATATATTATTCTCCACAATTTGGTCCTTGTTATAATATGTTCGATCAGCCCAAAAGCATATTTCAGAATGTTAATATTTTGACCATTAAATTCCTTTCTGGAAATTTTGGCCGCCATTGAAATGTTATATAGATGGCATTCATTCTCACTAGCATTTTCTAAGAATACTACTCGTAAACCCCACTTTGAGAATCAGCAAACTTTTATAATTATAAATCTCAAGTCAAATGTAATGAACGTCCTCATAGTTTGTGGATCCTGAATAGACATTATATTCGCTAGCTATAATCCCTTTTTCAATTATCTAATATATTAATTACTATTATTATTATCATGCCATGCCCAACCATGTCCTCTCTCTCTCATCTCTCTCTCTCTCTCTCTCTCTCGCATTATATTGCAAGATGATATTCAAATCTTCAGCTCTATGCAATTTTTTCCCCACGACAGATCTTTAATGATTTGATTGATTTGAGGTCTTTATTTGCTATAAAAGGAATTTAATTAGTTCATTTGATAATCTTTTACCAATTACCTTGCACGGTTCTGGAGTCCAAAAGATAGTACTTTAGGGTTAAAATCCTAATCCTAACAAATAAAAAAAAAAAACAAAATCAATTGTGCCCACATACATACACAAACAAGTAGCTAGAGAGTTCTAAAGAACTACCGTAGATAGTAGATACCATGTCATTTGAAAATTTGAACAAGAATTATTTTATTTCTAAATTCAAAATAATTTTCTTGGAAATGATTAAACAAGATATAACAAATTCAAGAATATAATTAAGATAATATTGAAGGATGTTATCCATTGAAGAGATATAGAGACGGTAAAAAATCTCATTTGATTGAGCCCATGCATCAATGGACTTATCTTTTGTACATTTAAAAGGTTACATTGTGTTCATGGTTTGAACGATAATTGAAACCAAGTTACAAGTATTGCAAAAATTACAATTGAATTGAAAAATGACTACAATTAAGTGCAAAATACAAAGTAAATTTAAATAAAAGAATGAGAGTCTGTATATTGTGAGCTTGTTGCTTGTTTGTTGTTGCCTTATTTTCTCTTTGGAACTCTATTTAGGATGTTGGTATGAGGCCCTTATGTCCACAAAACAAGGAGCCTGGCTGCATTGTGCTGGAATATTTGCTCTTGTGGGGGACGGTTTTGCGAGATACAAGGTACATCCAAATAATAGTCCATTGCCCAAATAATAGTCTTCCTAGTTCAGTCACTCTAATTTTTAAGAGTCATATTTTTCCACGACTTAATGCTTATTAATCCAAAATATTTCTTTTTAAATGGATCAATCCCTGTTTTAGTAGATAGCTTATTGGGCCTGATGTTTTTTCTTTCATACTTATAAGCTATAATTAAACGTCGCTTCATTTTAGGCTCAAAAACATTGCAAGAGAAACTTTTAATGATAATTGAGACCCGGCATTATTTAATTATGATCCAAGAGTACCATACCAATTAATTATATAACTAGAGAGGATTTTAATTAATTGAAAAAATCATGGAACCAAAAAGTAAAAAGGAAGAAGGAGGGGGTGATAGGTATAACGATATGATATAAAAAGTGAAAATAATTAGCACAAGTATAAATTAAATAGAAAGGGTTTGAAAGGGGGGGGATGTGCGCGCGCTGCTTCCACTGTTTCCAAAGCATCACCACATATCCCTCTCTCTGCCTCCTATTGTGTCTCCTTCTCCATTCCTTGTTCAGCAAAAATATCAAACCTGCAATGCCATGGCCCAGAATCATTTCTAGCACAACCCAACCGTCCGTACACTTGTTTCTTCGGACCATGCAATCTGCTCTTTCTTCCAAGGTTTGCTCTCTCATACACACACACACACACACACACACACGTATATACTTTTCATGCCACATATATATATCTCAGAAAAAAAACCCAACAAGTTATACAACACACACGCACGCACACAAAAGCACCCATTTGAAAGTAAAATTTTCGTAGTTTTCAAGGAACTTTTTTGGTACTGTGTTACTTATAGTTATCTACGACTTGTGGATAAACATGTGCACCGGGAATGATGAATCTCGAGGAATCCTAAATGGTGGTGAGGCTGTGACTTCCAAAGTGCAAAGAATGAGAGACAGAGATGACGACGACGACGACAACGATAATAATAATCATAATAGCGATGAAGGCACTTCTTATGCTTTTAGCAGCAAAAGTTGCAGATTTGTTCATGGCCTTCTTCACCACCTCACTGCTCAACTTCCTTCCCTTTCTCTCTCTGAGGTTCCTCTCTCTCTCTCTCTCTAGATTGATTTCTTGGTCTCTGCGTTTCTTTTATTTTCTCTGTTTGGGATGGTTCTTTCTCGCTTGTTGCTTTTGGCAACCTCACGAGTGTTGATGGCACGATGTGATATGGAATAAAACTAGATAGCTAGCCAGCCGGTGGGTCATAAAAGGAATATATTGACGAGAAAATATCCATATTTAGCATTTTGATTGTGATTGTGTTTGATCTTGATGGATTAACAAGATTAATTGATTATTAATTTTCACGTGTGGTATTAATATCAAAATGCAGAAATTAATTGCTCAGAGCCTAGAAGATTTTGGGAAAGTTGATATTTGTTTTTCTTTTGGCTTTTGCTTTATTAGCTTGTTCCTGTTTTCTCCGCGTAGGGACTAGGCAAGAATTAGCTTACCTTGCCTATTTGGGTTTCTCCTTATTGTTATTTATTAATTTTTCAATAAAGTTTTTCTTTATATTATATTCTTCTTATCTTTACATATACGTTCTATTATTTTTTATAACTATTTCTATTTACATTAATAATCACTTCCTCCCCTTGTACTACCATTGGTTATAAAATTTGGAAAAATTGTTTGTATTTAATATCCTATCGTATGCTTTTAATAAAAAGACACTTATATATAAGTAATAAAAAATTAAAATTATTGCTGAGAAATAATTTTCAAAAGCCTTTTTTAAATTTTAATAAAGATATTACATAAATTTAAACTTTTCTTATGAAAAAGTAAAATCTCCAATAATATGTCAATATTATTAACCAACCTCAACATATCTAAAATATACTTAAAAAATTTATTGCTCATATTGCTATTCACAAATCACAAAGTGTTTGTTTTTGTTTTTTCAGATTTTGCATAACGAATGGTGCGATGGTTTGAAAAAAAAAAAACATATTATTATACTTTTAAATGGATGTTTCTAGTACTTCAAACCTGATCCGTCAACAAACATACTTTTAAACTATTTGATTTAATTGAATATATACATATATAAATATAAATACACACTACTTGGTTGAGGATCCATGAACTTGTGCAGTGAGTGGCTTGTTGGGTTGAAACATGAACAATTGAATTGATCCAAGAGAGTGAACAGTGACATTATGTTAGTAAATAACAAGCGACAACACGTACGACAAACAAGTTCCACATGTTCTCTAACAACCTGATCTTATCCTCCTCACATATTCTGGTGGACTTGACTCCAACTAGGGAAACAAGTTACAACACATTAATTAAATTTAATAATAATACTACTACTACTACAAATACAAATCTAAGATACAATTACACAGCAAAACACAACTCATTGACACAGTATCCGAAATACTCATTTCACTTATTTAATTCAACATGTCTTTATCTTTAATTTCTTAGTCTTTCTAGCTAATCCTTCAATTAGTTTTTTTTGTATTCAAAAAGGCAAAAAGAAAAAGAACAACATGAAAAGTGGTTTTCTGGTTTTCAAAAAATGAAAAGTCGAATGCAAATCATGTATTTTAGTTTGGGGTTGGGCTTAAGTACAAGGGTAAGTCAAGGCTTGCGTCTGATTATAGTTGAAGCCTTGTTTCTCTTTACTTAGGTAAAAGCCCAACGTTAAAACTTGTGTCTAGTGTTTGCTGAGAGACAAAATATTATTTATTATAATTTGTTTGAAAAAATATAGTAATTAAATTTCAAATTTTAAACATGCATAAATCATTGCATTTATTTTTTAATAAAAATAAAATTTAATAGAAAAGATAAAGATAAAAAGCAGATCAAAATTCCACGAGAAGGTTTTCTTTCTGCCCCCCCCCCCCAAAAACAAAACTTGAGTAGTGGATTGCGTTCTCATTTAAGAGAATAAAAATGGCGTTCATTTTTTTTCCTCACTTGTTTAACTATTTATATTATGTTGTTTTTCAACTATAATAATTCTTGTTTTTTAAGTTCATAATTAGAGGATTTTTTTACTGTATTCTATTTTTTTAAAATATAATACATTTGAAAATATAATACGATCTAAATGTTGAAAGGTTAACTTGAAAGTTCAGACCCAAATTTTGTTTAAAAAAATCCATTGGCATAAAAATTTACTCCTTCATGTAAGAGGTCTCTACAGCCTACTCAAATTATATAAATCTAGTTGAAAAGTGAAAAGAAGAATGACAATTAAGGACCTCTTAAGAAAGTTAATATAGGATTAAGACTTTTTAAAAATTTTCAATGCTAAAACATGGGAGCGTGAGTTGGGGTACTGAAAATGAAGTTAACAAGTGTTAATTTGCATGAATGCATGCACGCAGGTGAGAGAGGAGTCACAATCGCTGGCCAAAGTTGCATTGCCCATTATAGCAACAAGCACTCTCATGTACTCTCGTTCTGTGATCTCCATGCTCTTCCTGGGTCGTCAAGGCAAAGCCGAACTAGCCGGAGGATCACTAGCCATAGGCTTCGCCAACATCACTGGTATCTCAGTCCTCAAAGGTCTCACCATGGGAATGGACCCTATTTGCTGCCAAGCTTATGGAGCTAAGAGATGGTCCGTCCTTAGCCAAACCTTTCACAAAATGCTCTGTCTTCTCCTTCTTATTTCCCTACCTATCATTCTCCTTTGGATCAACATGACAACTATACTTCAATGGCTCGGTCAAGACCTTGAAGTCACCAAAGTTGCTCAAGTTTACTTGCTTTTCTCTATCCCTGAATTACTTGCTCAAGCTCACTTGTTCCCTTTAAGGGCTTTTCTTAGGACTCAAGGCTTGACCACTCCTTTAACAGTGGCTGCGTCTTGTGCTGCTGTTTTACACGCGCCTGTGAATTACTTTTTGGCTATGTATCTCAAGCTAGGAGTGAAAGGTGTTGCTTTGGCCACTGGTTTGAACTCCATTAACATGAACTTGGGCCTTGTGATTTACCTTGTCGTCTCCAAGAAGCCTCTGAAACCGTGGCAAGGACATGGTGGTGGAGGAGATCAAAAGAAGTTCTTCATCGCAGCTTTCCAAGGGTGGGGCCCACTGCTGAGCCTCGCGTTGCCTAGTTGTCTGTCTGTCTGCTTAGAATGGTGGTGGTACGAGATAATGTTGTTTCTTTGTGGACTCCTAGGTAACCCTCAAACCACAGTGGCCACCATGGGAATCCTCATACAAACCACTGGTCTACTCTACATCTTCCCATTCTCTCTCAGTTCTGCATTGACAACAAGAGTTGGTCATTCCTTAGGAGCAGGACAACCCTCACGTGCACAATGTACAGCCATTCTAGGGCTTTCTTTAGCATTCATATTTGGGGTTTTAGCCTTCTTCTTCACAGTGTCTGTGAGGAAAGTGTGGGCGAGAATGTTCACAAATGAGATACAGATCATAGACATGGTGACAAGCGTGCTGCCAATTGTTGGCTTGTGCGAAATAGGGAACTGGCCTCAGACAGCTTCATGGGGGATCTTATCTGGGACAGCACGTCCTAACGTTGGAGCAAGAATAAACTTGTGTGCTTTTTATGGGATTGGATTGCCTGTGGCCATAGTTGCTACTTTTGTTTACAAATTTGACATGTTGGGGTTGTGGAGTGGGATGCTAGCTGCTCAGATTTCGTGTTTCGCTATGATGCTTTACACATTGTGTCGAACAGATTGGGGTCAGCAGAGTAAGAGAGCAGAAGCATTGGCCATGAAAACCATAGACAGAGAGGTAGAAGACAAGGAGGAGGAGAAGGAGGAGGGTCAGGACCAGGATCAGATAGATGAAGAAACTGGGCTGCTCAATTCTGATTTGTGAGAGGGAGATTCAAGAGTTAATTTGTTCGTTTGATTATAGGAAATAGAAACATTCTTTCTCGGTTCTTTTGATTCATATTAGACATTAATAATTTAAAGGAAGAACCAATCAATAGAGGCTTTGGCTTTTTGAACAACTCGTTCACACTAAGCCTTTTTCTAATTAATTAGCAATATTTGGGCTTCATGTGTGCCGTGTAAAGAATCTAAAAAATGAATCCAACTGTTTATGATTCATTAAGTAATTAAAGTTCTTATACATATTATATATAGATTGATTAGAATCCTATGGTAGAAAACCACAATCCGCTTAACGCAATCATCAAACTCAATTTCATAAATTTAAATCAAGAAAAGCTACTGCAACCTGAAATGACATATATATATATATATATATATATTGGAAGAATGGAACCTGAAGTATATACATAGGTTTACAGCTTCTCAGTGTTAAATGCTAAACATGAGCAATTATACTGCAGTCTACTAATTTGATACCAAAGTTACGAAAGAAAAGACAAAAGTATCCCTAATTTAAATTAATATCAAAACTTTCTTGCTTTATTTGTTTATCCTACTCACTTGTTAATTTACTTACATAATGTCATTAATTATCTTACTTAACTTATTCTATATAAAATTTTAATTAATAAGTTTTTAACTTTATCCCTATTAAACACACACATATATATTAATAATGCACTTTATCTTATCAAAAAATTTAACACGAGATAAAAAGAAAAAAACTTGTGATAAAAAAAATTAATAACATGACTAATAAATATAATCAAAAAATATTTTTTTTATTTTTATCTTATAAATGATATCAGGAGGAGTATAAGATTACTTTGAAAGGTTAATTGTCCCTTTATATAAGGCACTTTATAAAGTTTTAGGAATAATTAAAACATTTTTTCTGTAATGCCCCGTGCATTGAATAAAATGAGATGGCCAACCTGCTTGATAAAAGGAAATGATGACAATTAATTATAGGCAAAACATAAAGAAGGAAAAAAAAATCTCTCTCCCTTGTTGAGAGTGCTTTCTCTCCTTCGTTTGAGAGTAGGGTTTTGCTTAGCCCTTCTCATCAGTTCTTCTTTGGTGAGTGAGTGAGATTTTCGACCTCTATTTTCTATCACTTTAGGTGGTAGTAGATGAATTTGTGAGCGTTCCTTTGCTATCGTCCCCATTAGGGGGAGTTTTGAGTGGGTTTGCGTGTGGTTTTGTTTTAGGCGTGTGCGCCTCTCTGGGGCTGTTGGATTCTATAATATCTCGCACTACAAACATAATTAATCAAACAAATTCATGAAAATTAAAGAATTAATCTATAAAAATGATTATTAAATTTTAATTAAAATTAAGGGATCTTAAGTTTTTTTTAATCAAACTGAGTTTAAATCAATCATAACCTTTTATATTAGTGTAAAACAAGTTATGAAAGTATGAAATGTTTTGAAGAAGTAAAAGAAATCAAAATAAGTTGAAAAATAACATGTTTGCCATAAGATAGGGCAATGCGCCGCGGCATATTGCTCTCTATGTTATGCGCTACGGGTCATGTATCATATGCAATCGAGAAACTTTTGATGCATCATGATTCTCCATCCGACGTCCGAATAACATGATTTAAATGTCTATAAAAAGTTCTTTTCTTAAACTAGTTAATAACATGAGTTTCACTTTTAAAATAAGTTACACCAAGAAATTAGACATCCAAACATATTTTTTATCACTTTTTACAACTTTCACACAAAAAATGTGTCTAAAACCCATAATAAGTGCCAAGAGCTATTCATAACATCTAAACGATATTCATTGGACCTAAAACTATCAATAAAGCACGTTACATGCACTTAAATATTTGTATAACACAAAATTACTCCTCAACTCCTTTTTCACCAAAAACAAAAAGAGGAGGAAATTTCATTACATTTACTCATAAATCAATCATGACATGTTCAAAACATCATTTCTATACTCGCACTAGTATTTTAGTCCTATGAACAATTATATCTTATCATACACAATTACTCAAGATTCAAAATACAATTTAGTTAATCACAACAATAAAATAGTACAAGTGCAATAATATATAACCCAGAATTGGTAATAATATTCTGTTGTACAAAATAACATAAACTAGAGGCATACAGTAAGAATGAATTAATTCTTAGCCTCTTGAGCCTTTTTCCATTTTGCACCAAAGCTAGAGCTTATAAAATGTTAAATAAAAAAGATGATTCTAGCCACTCAATAACTAAAATAATACTTACCTTATGCAACTATATATCAATTATAAATCAAGTACATGCATATAAAAACAAGTTTTTAAACCATGTTTAACCATATAACAAAACTTATCATTACACCTTTAACCCATTTCCATCTTACATAGCAATAATCTTATTAAATATATTTAACAATCTTATATTTTCAAAACAAAAATATAAACTTTTAAAAATATCCATCATTTAATATATTAAAAAGAGAATGACAGAAATTAATTATAGAGAGAGAAAGAGTAATATTGAAATTAATACATTTAATGAAACATTAATATACTCAAAGTGTCTTATATTTTGGGATAAAAAATTTTTTAAAAGCATTTTATAATTTGATACGGAGGGAATGCCATTTTTAAATTACAGTTAGAACATTGTTAGAAAGAAATCCATACAAAAAATGACCTCTCAGTCTCACTATCTAACAAAACATGTGCTTTTCATTGTGCAAAATTCATTTATTTCATATATCCCTTTCTTGGGGGGAAAAAAATTAAAATTTGACAATTTATACTTTATATTTTGTGAAATTAATATTAAGATGTTAGTAAAATTAAAAAAAAGAATAAATTTAAAATTTATTACTTAAAATTACTCCGTCCATTCTTTTTCATTAAACGAAATTTCCAAAAATGGTACCTGCAATAGAACATATTTAACTAATTTGTGTCTTTAAATTTTTTTTTCATTTTCAGTCCTGCAATCAATTAATACTCATCATTTTCTTTATTTTATTGATTTAATCTAATATACGTCAAGACTTTGTATTCTTTATTCTTTCTTTTTTTTTTTTGCTGACCTCCAAAATAGGTCAAATCTTTTTATTCATTGACTGACAGCATTTTAAGAAAAAAAATAATTAATTCTAAAAGTTTATAAATTATTTTTCTACTGTGGTTTATAAATCAATTTTAATATATTTTGTTGGAATTAGAAAAACCTTAAAGTTATTAATTTTATTTAAAAATTTAATAATTTTTAAATTTTACCCCTATTAAATATACATAAATATGATAAAAATAACAGTAAATAACATACTTTCTCTTGCTAACATTTAATATATGATCAAAAAATGTGATAAAATTTTAATAATATAACTTATAAATATAATTAAAAAATTTTCTGTTTTTCCCTTATAAATAGGACTAAAAAGAATATTTTATGAAGTATTTCCTTTATCTTAATTTATAAAACATTTTTAGATGAGATCACATATACTAATGGAACTCATTAAATGTACTTTATATTCTTACTTTTTCAAAACAATAGCATAAACTTTTAAAAATAATATTTATTTAATACTCTATTTGTGAAAGAATGGTAAGGATAAAGAATGTATGGAAGGGTTTAAACATGATTTTAGAAAAACCAATAATTATGAGGACAAGCTTGCATGTCAATGGAGCTAAAAAAATGGGTTGGCTTGACCCTAAATGGCCTAAGGCCAACCCTTGATGGAAATCAGGACTAAAGAAATTAATTTTTTTAAACTCACTTTTCATTTGAGATCCTCACATGCCAAAGCATATAGGCTTAGAGTCTCGTTGGTTTCAAGCCTTTTTACCTTTTTTTAACAGTTTTTATCAAATTAAAAATACTTCCACAAGCTTAAACGGACTTAAACAAGCTTAAATGAGTTTAAATAGGTTTAAAAAGTTTAGTTTAGGATTTTTTATATAAATTTTTTTTTTTTAAAATAGACAAGGACTTACACAAGTAACATTCGACCTGTTAGAGCTAGCTCGTTTAAAATAAAGCCTATTAAGACTAGCCTATTTTGCAATTTCAAAGTCATACATTTAAGCTTAGCCCCTTACTAAATGGGTTTATATAGGGTGACTTATTTTCCTAACTCTACTCATTAAGCTTTTAATAATAGTGTAAATATTAAAATTTTAGACCAAGTATCTTTAGAGTGTAAATTTGAAATTTGACTTGACTTAATTGTTGTCATTCAAATGGTTTTTGCAGTACCTTCCTCATTCTAAAATATATATTTGTAAAAATAATAATATTAAAAAATTGTTATTAATTAAATTTTATTTTTATTAAATTACCTTATATTTTTTATATATTTCTTTTAAAAGTGTAGCATAATTTGAGATAAAAGGAATACTGCAGAAAACGTAGTCCAAAAACTTGTCAATGGAAGCAAATCTGTCGGTGGTGGCCAGTCCATTTGAAAGTTGAGGTTATTGAAAGTTCTACATTTATTGCCCCGCAGGTTGATTTATTTATTAGCACAATTATTTTGGTAAGATTTGATTGGCTTACTGTACCATTCTTGAGCAAATGCCATATCTTTCCATATATATTATTACCGTTGGATAATATGTACTTATTTGTCAAAATCCTCCTCCTTCGGATAATATATGGTTGGGCATTGTAAAAGGGATTAATCTCTCACCTTAAATCAATATTCAAATTCTTGTTAGAAAAAATCTCATATTTAATGTCTGATTATATAGTAAACAAAATTATTTTTAATAAGAAGATAGTTATATGAAATTAAAAAAAAATCCTCTTCCTCTCTCACCTATCACACCATTTCACGTGTTTCTGAGGCTCTGACTGTCTTATTTTATATAAATTTTTTTTTCCCAAATGCTTTCTCCGTCATGAATATAAAACAAAAAAAAAAAAACAATTAAAGACTCCACAAAGACATTAATCTCAATTTAGAATCATAAAATTTTAAAATCTTAATTATTGGAATAAAAAATACAGTTTGTTTTAAATGCTTCTGAAAAAAACCTAATTATATTATTTTCACAATAGATGTTAAAAATTTTTTCAAGTCAAGTTAGTAAATTCTCAAATAGTGTTAGTGAATCCCACCTCACATTAGTGAATCTTAATTTGGACAAGTTACTTTTTTGTTAAACAATTAATTTTTAAATGAGGTTTCAT